CTTTAATAAACTCATATCAATCACTACTCACCTTAAGCGCCGAAGAAAACTGAACACCTGTTTTAGCTTTCCCAAATCATCAAATTTTTACCTCTACAAATTTTCAGTACTTTCTTCTTAGAAGCGCTTTGCAGATAAAGAAAGCAGATTTGGAATTAACGCTCCATGCTTTATAAGATAGTAGACATCTCATACAGAAACGCCACTTCGACCAAGTATCCCTCCCTTGTAAGTCAAATTTCTTATTATCAGACTTTGCTTGAAACATTAACCTTTAAACTGATTATGTCTTTGAGAAAAGCTTTAGCGGTGAGACAAAACAGTTTGTGGCATTCAATGTTGTTTTAGAGTTGATAAAGTTACGAAGCTCGTCAGACTTCTAAAGCAATTCTGAGATACCCATATAGCGTTTTCATGCATACATAAACGGTACGAAAGGATGGAAAAGACGAGCTCCCTGGTAAAACATGAACAATACGAGCCCGAGTTGTGTCAGTAGGCTTAGTGAAGTGATAAAAGAGCTTGGTGCCCTAAGAGTTATGAAAATCGATTTTTTCTCTTTAAGAAAAGTTCCGCCTGTAGGTATCTTGTAAATGCAAAAGAGTGGAATATCAAACAAAATCTTACGAGTTGTACCACTAGAGCAGAATATTGAACGGGAAGTTACGACTACAAACAAGTCACTTGCTTGATCTCATGACTATATATATTACATAGATTTGTGCGTATCACTTAAACAGCGGACGGGCAAAATGGACCCTTCTCGGATTTTGGTAGAGTCAGGTAGTAGATCCCCCAAGTGCATCGTAGTCAAAACCCACCTGCCATTCATGCACTAAGTCCTGAAAAATGCGCTTCAAAGCTCTACCAATGAGCCCACTCAATGGAAGTGGGCGGGACTGGTGGAAATTTGAAGGGCATATTTCCTTACTTAGCGAATGAATGGACAGGTGGGGTTGGCTGAGGTGTACTTAGGGGGTCTACTACCTAATTCCGCCAGAATCCGAGTATTTGCGTGTCCACTGCCTTTATGATACGATTTTTCAAGCAAAACGCACACTTTTTCATCTTCTTTCCATGGCTTGCTAGGGTTATGACAAGGGCAGAGAATCATTTAAATCTTACCTGCCAATCATTGAACTCAGGGCCGAACTTCTTTCTGAAGGAGCTGACCTCGCTAACAAACACAGAAGGGATGAATTCACGAGTGAAAAAGACTCCCAATGCATTCTGGAACCTAGCAAAGATATTCATCTGATCGCCTGCTGCCGACATTC